CGAAAAACGCCACAGAAAACAAACACACACCTCATCCTCGAACCCATACTCCGTGCCCGGGGCGTCCGCGCCGTATGCTAGTTGCACATGAGCCAGGAATCCAACCGTGGAAAGAAACAGAAAACAGAAACGGAACGCACCACCGTCCAAAGCCCACCCCTCCGTCTTCTTCTTCGCAATCAGCGCCTCCACGCCGATTACCTTCGCGTGGGGGTACGCGTCCTTGAATTGGGCTGTATAGTAGGAAAGGAAAAAGCACCGATCAGCAGATTCTCCCGCGAGGCGAAAGAGAGAGAAAGACGAACACAGGAACATGTGGTGCACTGCGTCCGCGCCCATGATCCACCTGAACGGAGTCAGTTGGTTCAATTCAGGAAGGAATGGAGGAAGGAAGGAACGTACCTGACTGGACCGAGCCTGTCAATGGCCGCCTTGGTCAACGGCGTCAGGGGTGTGGATGCAAGGACCCAGACGTCCCCGGTGGAGAGGCGGATCGCTGTGGAACGCCCACCTTATCGATAGAAATAAACGGTGAGCAAGGGAACTTGAACTTGGATTGTAAAGGTAGCAGCGCACCGAAGGGGAGGACGTGGAAGCGCATGAATGGCCTATACCCGTTTCAGTAAGTATCTTCCAGGAAAGAAGCATGTTCGAAGGAAAGCGGACTTGGAAAACGTCGTGATATCGGGCGTCACCTGAAAGGGGAGGGAATCATTAGTCGAGGGAAGGCAGACAGGAGGAAGCCCGGCCTACTTCGCGGATAACAAGCTCTGGGATCTCTTCGGCCGACATGGTTCGATTGGGAAAGTAAAGTGCTGGGAAGCGGGGAGTGGGGAGGTGGGGAAAGGTGGGAGAGATAGCGACTAAGAGCAGCAGATCGAGCTCTGTTTTATCGTCCTCAGGGCGCCGGCTCGTCGCCGATGTCGCGACCGCATAACTGTCATCGCCGTGCGACGCGGGTGCTGCCAGCTGTGCTGCCCGATAGTGACCGAGGCGATTGTAATGGCGGTGGTAGGGGGTTGATCACCGAAGCCGAGTGGGATCTGCAAGGATCCTCGCGGCGCGTTTAATCGCCGTTTGTTGATGGCGGTCGCTATGACCGAGCCCGAGCGATACTGTGCGTGACCGCGCCGCCGCCGCCTTTGCAGTGCTGTGGTCAGAGTCTGGTCAGCGATAAGATCATTCTTTCGCAATGCAATGTCGGTTTTTCCAAAACCTCTACTCTTCAAGCTTCAAGCTTCATGGTTTTCAACATTTTGCCCAACTTGAACCAATCGAACTGGTTGAAATCAACGCCCAGGGATCGACGGACGGCGCCACGGTCGGGGCGAAGATACACGAGCAGTGAGCACTCTGCCCAAGGGACCCGGGGCGGTTGGGACTGGAGGTTGGATTTGGGGGCGGGCTGGAGGCGGACAACGTCGTCTGCCGGTAAAGTCAGTTGCCGGTGAACCGATGTTCAACTTACGAAGATCTGCAAATCCTGATCCGCGTTTTTGTCCGCCTCGCTGTTTAAATTCAAGGCAGTGGGTGAACGGATTTATCAGCATAGAGGAAGATATAAGATCATTGAGCCTCTCTTCTCGTTCTCTTGCGACGTTCTACATAAATTAAGTGTTCACTTTCGCCGGCCGAGCGGAGTTCAAACTGGTTGATTAGTCCTATTCCGATCATTGACCAATTGATCGAGGAATATATACATTCTTGGCGTTGCAGGCGGCAATTGCATTTCTCTTCCCTCCTTCATTCTCCTCCTCCCCACTCTTGCTCCAATGTCAGATATTGTAATTCGCGAGGTACTCTAGGGTCTCCACCCATCTTCCGCTCAGCTCAACCACAACGCGTTCCAGGTCACGAAAGACGTTTGGACATTTTCCCGGTTCGTGGTCCACTTGCTACCTTTGCTTCTGACCGCCTCATACCCTGTGTACTTAGACCCTTTGCTCTCTTTGGCTGGATCCACATCGGTATCGTAGAGCGTCTATCGAAGGGTAAAAGACTCAACCACGTCTAGGAGGTCGTTCCACCGCCATAAAATTATCCAACGGCGGAGTGTGGGTCATAGCCTCGACTCCTCTGAGCCCCGAAACCAAGGCTGCCTTGGACGCGCTGGGCCCCGTCGAGTAGGTCTCTTCAACTTCATCTCGCTCTCAACCGTCAACCGAGCCAATAGATATATTATCGGGATAAACGCTGTTCATAACTTATACCTCGGTACGTGGCCGACTGTCGTGGCTTACAGTTGGCTCAACAACAGCATGGTGATGCAGGCGAATTTAAGCGCGCATACCCAACAGCAAAACTCATCGTGCCCGCCGGGGCTGTGGCGCGTTGCTCCGACAAGACACTCTCCTTCGACGGTGTCTGGGGCAAGGATGCCCCCGAGACCACGTACGGCTTCGAAAACGATATCAAAGCATGGTACCACTCGTTAATTACCCACAAACCCGTCCTTCTACTAACAATGCTTATAACAGCTACTTCTCCGGCCACTCAAACAAAGACGTCGCCTTCTTCCACCCAGCGTCTTCCACTCTGGTAAGTCCAACGTAACACTCGATCCCCTGAATCACATCTAATGCTCCACCACCAGATTGAAGCGGACCTTGTCACCAACCTGCCGGGTGCTGAGCAGGTATGTTCGATTCCTTGACCGCCGGACCTCAGCATCTCACATGTTCCTCAACATCCAGTATTCCAAATCCAACTTAGCCGGCCGTTTCCCGTTCTACGGGCCCCTCGGCAAGCCCTACGGGTGGATCCAAAGCAAGCTCGCTGCCGCTCGCGTCGTGGACCCCATGTTCGTTCAGAGTTTATTCATTGGTTCACCAGCTGGCTAATTCTGATCCTGGTATCTTTTCAGTGCGATGGCGCGCGACGTGAAGACTGTCGCCGCTTGGGATTTCTCGCGAATAATTCCGTGCCACGGAGATGTGATCGAGACGGAGGGTAATTCGGTCTGGAGGCAGGCTTATAAGGCCCAGCTCTAATTTGTATTGATTCGGGTTCGCAAGTTGGCGAAATGATGATTGTTTCCACTTGATTTCGCTAGTTTCAACTTGGTTGAACACTGAGGTACTGTGCAACATGTCTTCAGATCGCTGCGACGTGACGACGGAAGTTGAAAATTTCGATAACATTGCGCTTCGTCCTACACGTCCCCACTTGAATCTGCGGAATACGGTACAATTTTCTACCTGGTTCACATCCCAACCACCGATTTAAGGAGGTCCACTGCAGTCTTGGCGGAACCCCACGACGACTGATATCCTGCCCCGCCGTGGCTATGAAAAATGTGAGAGACGGGAAGTAAAGTAGGAGCAAAAAGGCACGCTTACCCGTAATTATGCACAATTGGATAGCTCTTGTCGGCCACAGCTGCATTGCACAAATGTGAGGAGGGGTTCGAATGCATGCATGGCATGGACTCACTCAAGGAGGATATCTCCAACCGAACCCCGCCCTTCCTCGTGGGACGCAGGCCGACGCACTCTTCCACAACCTCGAGGTCCTCAATGTCACGATTTGCACGCTTACTCGGCGGGAGGAGCGCTGGACACGCTTGGATCCCGCGCTCCTTGATCATTTTCACCGTTTCTGGTCGTGAAGTGGGATGCCTGCGCGTAAAATAAGAATTTCAACCCATTTTGTTTTTCAACTTGGATGGTTGCGGAAACAAGCTCACCAGTCGTCCGGCTGGAACGTCCCCCCAAGAACGACGTGGCCTTCGCTCTGGCGCGGAATAACGTACGACAAGTGGCCGTCTGCGTGGTAGTAGGACAGGCCGTAGTCCACCCAGGGCGCGTGGACGATCAAGACCTCGCCCCGCGTGGGGTAGACATTGGTATCTGCGAGAAATCAGCTGGTGTAGCGGTGAGTGGGGGAAGAGGTGACCAAGAACGTCGCCCAGGGAAAGTGCGCCAAGACCAGTACAGTTGATTACCGCGGCAGGCTCGAAGGACGGTGGGACGCTCGTCGGGGAGGCGGGAAATGCTTCTAAAGATGGACGGTCCGGTTCGGAAACGAGAGCCGACAGCGAAGGGAGAGTCACTCTGAATGCACGTCCCCCTAAGGCCAAGAATCGGTTCATGAGGTACGGAAGATATTTGGGCACGTCCACATATATCTGCAATTGAACGCCGAACTCCGTTGTCTGTTTGCGGCACATGTGAGTGTACTCACTGTAGAAAATACTCCGCCGTAGACAACGCCGTCCGGGAGCTCATTCGAGTCTAGGCGGTGAAAGTCTGGATAGCACTTTGCGATGTGCTCACTCTGGGGCTGATACATAGGTCCAGACTTTGAAGAATTGAGAAGGATTAGACAAGCGGTTGACTTCAACAACACTCACGACTTCTGCGTGCTCCTTCTGCGGCCCAGTCATAACAGGAAGCAAGGGGGTCTTCCTTGATGAGCTCCAGGAAAGTTGAGAGTGTATCGGCCTCTAATCCTGTCCAGGTTTGAGCAAACGGTATTCGAGTCCTGAATCAGAACAGACGGTGGAGGAGCGCGTTGGTCGTTGCAACGCTGATGTGGTTGGCTCCAGCCCAACAAGAAGTGTACTTTATGCTCTTTGGGTCGCTCGGAAACATCTCTGCGAATATTGTGACGATGAAACCGGCCTCCAATGCTCGAATCGCAGTAGATAGTCCAATTACGCCTGTTCAGTTGCAATATAAATATTCGGTGTGAGTTGGAGGAGAGCTCACCTGCTCCAACTACGAATACGTCGAGATTCCGTTGCATTATCGACGTCGTGCTTGCTGGTCCACTGCGCAGTGGGTGGTCGAGTGATAACAATAGATAACGGGGTTTAGAGGTGGTTGATCCGGTCGGCGACACGGAGATAGAATTCCAGGGCAACCGCAGGGTACTTGCGAGGTTACGAGGGTCGGTCGGGAGAAGGTAGGTTAACCCCCACAACGGTAGAAGCGACTCCAGACTGTGGTGTCCGGGGCAAATAGGTAGAAGAAAGGACCAGCTATGGACGTCAAAAAGAATGTCCAGGGCCAGAATCGAACTGACGTCAATCGCGATTGATGAGTACACCACAAGCGAGCATACTAACCACTATACTACCTAGACGATGGAATGCGTTGGTTCTATCCTCTGCCGAGAGCGTGTCTTATTTCGAGGGAACTGTGGACCCTCGGTACCGCGATGACACTGTCAGATTCACTCTTCTGCACCTATTTCAGCGTGAACGTGTCGCCTGGCAGCGACACAATGACCCTGCCCCCCAACTTTTCTTTCAATCATGCTCCGTACAGTCCCAAAAGGCAGATGCAGCTGCCATCACTGAGTCCCGAGGATTCAGAGCCTTTGGCTACCAGAATTGCCGCCTCCGGACCCCGCGACCAGCTCCAATCTCCCCTCTTCGCCTCATTGTACCCCGAGCTGCGGAACCTGGATCTTCAAGCACGCGCTCACGGAATACGACGACCTTACTCGGCCCTATAGCAACGAGTTCTACTATCGGCCTGGCTTCGAGTTCGCCGGCAGGATCGACACAAATCTCCTGCTGACCTGCCGCCTGATATATCTCGAAACCCACCTTGCCCCGATCTCGCTGAACGAGCATGTATTCTGGATGTATCGGGCGCCGCCAGTCTGGGAGTTTTGCCTCCGACCCCGAGAGGTACTTCTGGAGAATGACACCTCAGCAACGTGCCGCGGTGCGAAGAGGTGCGGTACTTCACCCAGATGTACTGGCTAGAAGGTCGCAGGGCCCAGCAACTGTGGGCCATGGGGCTGACGGTACCGAAGCTGTCCATCACCATCCGTCACTCGGACTGGTGGTACTGGGAGGACCACGAAGACCTTCGCATGCAAGATCCGAGCCAGGGTTGGGATACCTGGATCGAGAGCTATGCCGGGGCTACAGGAGATCGAGCTGGAGCTCGAGACTCTCGACGAGAAAAGGGAGCAGTTGGACCAGCGAGTGGAGGCCGCTCTAGGGTGGAAATTTCCCTGTCCAGGACGGTGGTTCGCTCGTTCATGACGGGGAAGAGCCGCGTAAGTCGACAAGGCTCGCCTCGTCGCGGCTGGGTCCGGACCATGCCGACGAGTACGACGACTACAATTATTCGGATGAGGAAGATGACTCGGATGATTCGGATGAGGACGAGGAAGACGACGAGGAGCGCGAGGGAGATGAGTCAAACGGAGGGAATCAGCAAGGCGCGGAGCTCTATACCGTCGAAGAAGAAACTCCGTTGGCCGCTGTCGAAGTCGAACAGGAAGGAACTCGTCAGGACAGCGCTAGGCGAGGAGAGCCCAGACGAACCAGCAGATCAAGAGGACGCCGTCGTCATTGAAGATGCAGACATTCCTCCCGCACTCAGCAGTGAGGCGGCTTTGGACCGAAACTATCCAATCAACATGAAACTACACGTGCAGAGACTCAGGTTTGTTCACGAACGTCGTCTGCCTCTGAACGCCCACGTCTGGTATAATTTATTTCCTTGGGAGTTTTTCCCTCCGATACCTACGAGCCATTTGGAACTCGCTGCGTAACTGGACCTGTCGTGTAGAATCGCAACTCAAATGTACTTCTCATATACCTGAAATGAACTCGATGTCGATTTCAAACTTTGAACACGGTGTCAGTGTATGTTGGTCCAATCACCCTCGACTCGCGGAAGTTAACGCACACAACCCTGTATTCATAGCGCCCCAGACGGCGTTTATAACGATGAATGCGGGATGTTCGCGACGGTCTAAGGTTGAAAGGTATCATGCATTAGCAGAAAATGTGGAGTTGGATACCACACCCATCGCGGGGCTTCGTCTGCACGGTATATCTGAGCACCGACAATGACTCTGGCCAGTGCGAACCTGGAAAACGTTGCATTGGCATGATTATTGTACAGACAGTTTGAGATGGAAGAGCGCACATATTATACGAGGAGGCGTTGACGGTCCTAGTTGCCACAGCGCTAGCGTTCGGGAGCGCCATCCGACCTGGACACGTGTATGTAGATACAGACCTTGTCTGGATAGGATGCGTGTAACTAGAAGTAAAACGAGAATCAGAACAGCGCCGCTGGTCGAGCAACTTTGGAAACACCCTACGGGTAGGGAAAAAAAGACCACTGGCCGATCCCTAATTCCAATTCGGTTGGAGGAGGTTGGTTGGTTTGGAACGTCGTGAACCTGGCGTAATAAATTGGATTTGTGAGTCGGCCGGAGCGAGCGGAAATCGAACCCAATGTCCCGCAGACTCAGGTAGGGCACACTGCCAACCAACGAAGCGCCTCTGTGTGCCAGCGAGTCAGCGATGTCTGGACAACATCTCCCAATTCAGAAATGGACGTACTGTGCGTGGATGGTGCATGAAATACAAATGTAGAGCTGGGGAATGGTGTATTCTGCGCGCGCAACGCGTATTGTTTAGTCGGAGGAAGACGTAGGCGAAACGGACCGTAGCTGATAAACTATTGGCACCTACCCGAGCAGAAAGCGACAAGCGAGGACAGAATGACGTCCCGACAGTCAAAATTGTGAAAGGGTGACCAAAGACCACAGGACGATCTGCGACTGTTGAGTCAGAGGAGCGAAATCGCCAGTGCAGTACTTACCCGCTTCGAAACAAGCCGAGAGGGGAGCTCCGCAAGCAGAAACACGAGCCGGAAGACACTGGTGGGCGGTTAATTTTCGTCAACCATCTTTAATGACTCTGTAGGTGGTCCGCAAGTTCAAGTCTACGTTGCGAGTTTCAATGAACGCGTAATGAATTAAATTGTAATCGTACCGTTAATGGCGAGCTTTGAATTGAACAGCAAGTTGTCGGAAAGCGCCTTACTGATGTTGCTCGAATCCACGTTGAGGGCGGAGAGACCCTCCAGTCGAATTTACGCAGAGCTGTGTTTCGCGAAGAGTCAAGTGCGCCTTGGGATGCCGGTTCTCGTCTTCGAATGGTAATGCGGGGAGAAGTCGGGATCGTCGAACACGGAGCGTCGGATGGCGATGGTGTCGGAGTTCTGCCTACCATCCTTACGACGAAAGAGATCACGAGCCCAATATTGTAGTGGGGAGACGGTCTGATTCCATCTCGGATTCCACGTCGTCGACTTCCTCCTTCAAAGGCGACGAGGTCGGAGACGAAGGTGATCCCATCTTCGGAGCGAGTCTCCTTCGAAGGAGGATTTGACACGCCCCAGCAGACCATCTAGAGGACGAGTCGCGAACCAAACATGTGGTGTCGATCATTAAATTGTGGTGGGATTCGTTCGCTCCGTCTCACGTCATAGTCAAGACAGGTTCACATCCAGCTAGTATTTGCGCCAGCTTGAAGGCGATCACGGAGGAACAGGACCGATAGGTCGAGGATCTGGAACGACGACTCCCGATTCGTGCGGCAGCCTGAAGCAGGTAGACAATTCGTGTTCCAAGTGAGGTAAGAGACGAGAGCCTAGGCGGGGCCTTGCAAAGGGATACCTGAAATTTTGCTCTGAACGCGGGAAGATCGAGACAGCGCAGATATTGAACAGACCGCCCAGAGACAGCTTCTGTCGCTAGTTTCTTGCTCACAACCCTCGCAATCTAGAGGGAGGAAGATGGGGTTAGTCTTCGTCTCGACGTCCGCGTTCAAGTTGAGTGTTGACAAGATCGACGAGCGGGACGCTTCCGAATACCCAGTTTTCGATTCTCCCCAGGCACACAGACAGTCCCGAGCTCTCGGCTTTCCGTCTGCGAAGGAATTTTTGAAGACAGACTGGTCAAAAGCCTGGTGGCAGGGACAAGACCTGCCATTGCATTGAGGAGCCTGCGTACATTTCGTTTTCTCGCTGAAACGCGTTCAGAAACACGGACACAAATTTCAATAAGGTTGAACGCCGAACTTGCAGCTTGCAGCCTGGGCGGATTCGAGACACAGTCAAGACACAGTCCAGTAGAGTCCAGTTCGGGGGCTGTGGTTGAAGTCAAGGTGCCGATCAGCGCTGTGACAATTGTGACCCGCCTTCCGCTCGCTCAGACGATTTACGGGCATGTCTCCCTCAACAGCCTCGCAGCCTGTTGGTTAGTCCGACTAATTGCGCACAGTCACAATTTAATTTCCCTGAGTAGATTTCAGCCTGTTTGGAGGCGCAGAGTCGTTGGACGAGGGCAAAAACCCCACCAGATCACCTCGCCGTACCGCCCTCCCCACAAAACAGGTCAATGCAGAGGCGCATATAGCGCCTCCGCAGGACCCTTCTGATTTCCTCTGGCTCATGACCGAGGAGCCCCACCGCACTCGCCGCATGCAAATCTTGAAGGCGCACCCAGAGGTAAGGGTCCTCCCTCCATTTCCATACAAGGCAAGCTAACTCGCGCTCAGGTGACAAAGCTAATGGGACACGAGCCCCTCACAAAATACATCGTTCTCGGCGTCGTAGCGCTCCAACTATTCTGCGCCTACTCGCTGCGGCACACCCGACCTACGTCGCCCATATTTTTACTGTGCGCTTATGCCATCGGCGGAACGGCAAACCATAATCTGTTCCTTGCCATTCACGAGATCACCCACAACCTTGCATTCAAGCGCATCGTGCCCAACAAGCTCCTGGCCATGTTTGCCAACATTCCGATCGGCATACCGTACTCGGTCATGTTCAAAGGATATCACTTGGAGCACCACAAATTCATGGGTCAAGACAATATTGACACGGACCTTCCGACGCGTTTGGAGCTCATCCTTCTCAACAACGTGCTCGGGAAGGTATTTTTCGCGTGAGTGCACCTCAATTAGACCCTGTACTCGACAAACCTGAGTCCCCTTCGTAGCACCTTCCAAATCCTATTTTACGCCCTGCGCCCCGGCCTCGTGCGCGCTCAGACCCTCGGCCGTTGGCACCTTCTCAACTTCATCACCCAACTCTCCTTCGACTACCTCGTCGTCTCCACCCTCGGCTGGCGGCCCCTCGTCTACCTCATCGCGAGCAGCTTCTTCGCCGGCAGCCTTCACCCCTGCGCGGGCCACTTCATCGCAGAGCACTACCTCTGGGATGGCCTCGCGCAGGAGACGTACAGCTACTACGGCCCGCTCAACGTCCTCGCATACAACGTCGGGTACCACAACGAGCACCACGACTTCCCGTCCA